AGCCATTGAGCCCCTGGGATCTGCCTGTCCCCCTCACCCATCCACCCAAACCCTGGGGTCACAGGTGAGTACTGTCGTGCTGCCCCAAGTTTTTACTTGGGTGCTTAGGATCCGAACTCGGGTCGTCACACTTACATGGAAGCACATTCCCCACTCAGCCATCTCACATGGTTCAATACTATTTCTAAGATGCATCCTCTTTATGACTGTTATTTTTTACTGTTGTGAGTTGGCACAATTCACAATACTGCTGGCATGGACATTTGGTTGTTTCCTGGCTTTATTTCTGAAATTATGAACCATATTGCTTTGGATACTTTTGTAAATATCTCCATATGCAAATATTTGAGAAGTCTCTCTGAGGTCTTTTATCTAGAAATGACTATCACTGTTATGCTGTTTGCTTACTACAAATTGCTTTATAATGTATTTTGAGGCCAGGTGTTGCAATGCTTTTTTTTTTTTTTTTATTCTCTCAAGATTGATGTAGGGACTAGTATTTTCCTATGAATATAAGGATTGCTTTGTTTTCTTCTTCTATGAAGAATGTTGTACTAGGGACATAGTTCAGAGGCTGTGTGTGTGTGTGTGTGTGTGTGTGTGTGTGTGTGTGTTTCGTAGCCCATCTAGCATATACTTCAGGCCTTGGGTTCAGTCTTTACCCAGGGGTGAGGGGAACAAGCTGGGCACATTTGCAATCCTAGTGTTTGGCAGAGTAAGCCTACTTTGGTGAATTTGAAGCCAATTTGGATTCTCCAGCAAAGTCCTGTCTCACACATAGGAAAGAAAAATGATATTTGCTGTAGGGATTTGGGGCAGGTATTTCTTCCAGGAAGAAGTATTTCTTTTTGCTCTTGGTACTTCTCTTATGGATGCATTTAGTTTTTATGAAGCATTTCTTCATGGAGGAAAGGTGATGAGTTCTGTTCGCATGCATGCCATTGGGACTGCCTGAAGAGCGCTCGGGAGGCATTGGGTCTGGGGAGCTGAAGTTCAGCCAAGAGCCCTGGGTTGGAGGTGGAGTCTGCCGCAGCTTGTGCAAGGCTGTGGTGAAAGCACACTGCCCTTCGAAGGCAGAGAAGATTGAGGAGCTTCAAAGAAACAGAAGCAGAGGGCGGAAGTGTGGGTCCGAGACGGTGGTGAGCAAGGCAAGGGAGATTAGAGTTTTGAGGTGCAGACTCAGCATTAGCCTGTCCCCTTCCATCCACAGTCAGGAAGCAGAGGGCGGGGGATGCTTACGCTCTGTTCATTCCCTCCTTTTTCTTCAGCCTCAGCCCCCAGCCGGTGTAATGGTGTCAGCTGCAGTGGGCAGGCCTTCCCACCTCAGTTATCCTCATCAATCTAATTGCCTCCCAAGTAATTCTAAATCCTGCCAAGTTGCTAGTCAGCATCAACCGTTCTAGTCTGATGTTCTGCCAGGCATTATTAATTTGACTGACATATCCATCCTGAGATGTACCTGAGATGTTTGTTCAAACGATAAATAACCATCTATTCAGTCAGCTGAGAGAGAAAGATTGCCTGAGCCAGGAGTTGAGCCAGCTTAGGCAACACGCCTCTAATCTAAACTAAACTGGGGGTTTTAAAAAACAAGTTAGTTATCCAGATCTGTAAACCTGGCACTGGAATGGTAAAGGCAACAGGATCAGCTCAAGGACAGCCTCAGGTACACAGTGAGTTTGAGGCCAACCTAGCCTACATGAGACTCTGTCTCACACAAACAATAGAGTAACAGATAAAAGGCCAGAGAGAGAGCTCAGTAGTTAAGAGCATTTGCTGCTCTTCAGACAGCCGCGGTTTGGTTCTAGCACCCACACTGGGCAGCTTACAACTACCTGTGACTATCACTCCAGAGGCTCTGCTGCTCTCTGCTGGCATCTACATGCATGTGGCACCCAAGTACACTCAGGCACAAACACATACACATTAAAAAGAAAAAGAAAAAAAACAACTTTAGAAAATAAATAAGGCAAGCAGTTACTTGTGGCGAAAGTGGAGACTATATACAAACACTGTGTGATGGAGTTTTGTCCTGCCGGGCTGCACCGTCTCCTCTGTTACGGAGGCTGGGGGCAAGCTTAGTAGGTTAAGGAGTGGCAGGTAAGGAGGAGATCGGAATGGCAAGAGATGAGGAGAGCAATAAGAAAAGTAAGCTGTCTTGTTTTGGGGTGAGAGTGGCCCAGATATTTACTCATTCATCCAGGACACAACATGGTGCCCAGTCTATGAAATACATGGCTGGGACAGGAGCCATGCTTAATGGCTTCTCCTCAGGGGACTCCAGCATGGGATGGTAAGGTGTCCACAGTCACACTTTACCCACTATGTAGGAAATAAGCTCGTTAGCTTTTGTTTGCTTTTAAGACAAGGTCTCAGGTTGTTCAGGCAGGCTTCAGACTTGATATATAGGCCTGAACTCTTGATTCTCCTGCTTCTCCCTCCCAAGTGATGGGATTTCATGTGTGCATCACCAAACCCAGCTAGATTTGTTTTTGAAAAAAAATACATATATATAAACTGGACTGGAGAAATGGCTCAGAGGTTAGGAGCACTGGCAGTTCTTCCAAAGGCCCTTAGTTAAATTCCCAGCAACCACCAATGGTGGCTCATAACTATCTATATAATGAGATCTGGTGCCCTATTCTGGCTTGCAGGTATACCAGCAGGCAGAACACAGTCTGTATAAATAAGTCAATTATTTATATATTTATATATCCCAGTGAGTCTTCCCCAAAGACACAGAGCCTCGAAAACTATAATCCTAATTGTGTATGCTGTTACAACATAGAATTTCAGAAAATATATATATTCATATTTGTTTGTAAAGGTGGTTGGCCTCTGATAGCTCCATGTCATCCATCCTCTGTCTATTGATAGAATCAGTGACCTCAACTCCTGTGAACAGAACAAAATGCTGGCCAAGCACCTGCTTAGCCTCCGACGTGTCATGTGTCCTCAGTCTGCCCGTTTGAACCGTGTCCCACGCTCCACTGGAGTCTCAGTGCAAGCCAGGTCGGCATATATACTCCTGTGTGGAGCTCTGCCACCTAGCAAAGGGAGTGTAGGCAAGAGCTTCCTGGTGCCAGAAACCGTCAAGGAGGATGCTTTCAGAGTCCGAGGTTTCTCAAAGGTGGAGCAGTCTGGGGTACAAGCCTGAAAGGGTCCAGGTTCAGCAGATAAGGGGGTGTCCGTGGGGTTCTTGGAGCCTGGGCCAGCCCCTTCAGGAGATGTCACTAAAGTCTCCACAAAGGAAGGAAATTGCCATGTGCTAAGCTGCTAGCATGTGCCCGGGGGCTGGGCGGATAAGAGAAAATGCAGGTTTCTGCTTTTCCAGCTCATAGAAGTCTCCTTAAAGTTCAGGCGATGCTGTAGCTAGTCCTCCTGAGGGAAGGAAAGAAGCCAAGGAGGAAGAGAAAGGTGAGGTGAGGTTCTTGGCCCTGTCACGGAGTGCCACAGAAGTTTCAATGGCTGTTCTGTGTCTTGCCAGCAACTCTCCACTTACAGCTCTGCTAAAGCCACAATCCAGTCCCCTTTCTCCCGCCCCAATTCCCGTCAGGCAAGCCTCCTCTAGGCATTGCTAGAGTGAAAAGCATGACCTCTGGACCCTTTGCTGAAGACTGACATTATCAGCCATGAGACGGGAGGGGCTGCTGATCATGTTGCCTTGGACATAGACACTAATGCGTGCATTTGTAAGTAGGAACATCTGTGAGCCAGATGTGAGTTGGTCGTGCCAGCACACACTCCCTAAGTACATATTTGGCCTTGGGCTCTTCGCTGATCTCCTGGGATACGGGGATTAATGTAATGTACCCCCAGCTGCAAGATCCCGGCACTGCCCGGGAAGGCCAGGCAGTGTACACATCCTGGGTGTGTGGTGGGGGAAGGACAAGTCGGACAGCCACTTAGCAGTCATGGAGGGAAGGGCAGGGAGATCCCAGGCTTTGGCACTGGGGCAGACAATGAGATGATGGGTCTCTGAGATGGAGACCCAGAAGGAGAAGCCTATGGAGAAGGGTGAACTGAGGTCAAAGCTCCTGCACCTGGCTGACAAGCCGGCGAGGCAGTGAGTACAGCTGTGCAATGAATGAATGATGCCCCCAGATGTGGACCTTGACAGACATGCAGGGTGGAGGGGAATAACATACTAGGTGTGAGGTGGTCTAGGTTATGTGAAACCCAGGGATCCCTCACCACCCCCCATCTACCAGGTAGCCCAAGGATGAAGACTAGAGCTAGAAGGAAATCTAGCAGCAAAGAGTATCAGTGAAGCTAAGACCGGTAGCCTGAAAATCAGATGGTTCAGGTGGCCAGGGCAGCACATCTGCAGGCTGCTGTTAGCTGTTGGGCGTTGGGGTACGTGTGTGTGTGTGTGTCCCTTAGATTGGTAACCCTGCCCATGTGAACCCATGTACAAGCACTGCCCACCTCCGAAGACTTAGCTGGGTGGAGGTGTCCTGGCTTGGCGTCTTGGGCGTGGGGCCCAGCAGGAGGATGCCCAGACCAATAAGGACCATACAGGTGGGCACAGCACCGATGAGGACCTTGAGGGTGACCACCACTTCTTCTGCTTGCTGGCAGGCTCCTGCCTCATACCCTGCGAACCTGGGGAAACACCACCCTTTCCTTTCCATCCGCTTTGCTGAGCAAATGACTCCTTAGGCGCAGAAGTCACGGGCGTGTCAGCCCAGCCCTCTCCTGAGAACCCATTTCTCGACAGATTAGCCTATTATGCAGTGTGTGCGAAGAGCCAGAGCGGTCAGGGCCTCTCAGTCCTGGTGATGGAGTCCCCCCACACTCCCTGGAGTGGAGCATGCACTCCAGGCTCCCGGGTGGCTCTATGGCAGGGGCTCTGACCAACTCTTCCCAATCCCCTGGCTTTTCATGCTTTTCCCATACCCCGCCCCCTAGGACTGACTCCAAACTGAGGGTGGAGATGCCCAAGGCGCCTGCTCCTGACAGCTTGGTGAAGAAGACATAGGACGAGTAGAAGATGGTCTCCACGCCCGGGCCGTGCTGGTGCTGCAGCTGGAAGTCGTCCACCACATCTGGCAGCATGGACCTAGGGGCAGGTACATGGAGTTAGCCCTCTTCCCTTTGAAAATCCTCAGGAGGCTGGAGGCTAACTAAGGTGGAGCCTGCTCTGTCCAGAACGAGCCCACAGCCATCCATCAGTCCCAGGCAGGGAACAGGACAGCAGCAGGCGGAGAGATAGAAATTTCCCAACTCCCTTTCCCTTCATCCAGCCTACCAGGGTAGCAGCAGGGACACAGCAATGCTCAAGCCAGAGACAAAGGCCACAATATAGGCCACCGGTGCTGAGGGCACAGCAGCCAACAAGATAGAAAAGGGCACCATCACCTGGGGAGAGACACCTGTGAGTTGGCCCCTCCGTGATCTCCCTGGCTTGCTTTTTCATCAAGAGTCTCAGCCTTTGTTATTTATGATAAGCCCGCACCTGGTCCTATGCTAGGCCCAGCAGACACAAGGGAACACAGGTCCAACCCTGCTGGGCTCCGCTCCCTGGTTATCTCCTCAGCCCCCCTCAGGCCTTGCTTCTTGTTTCACTCACACAGATCCCCAATGCGGATGTCCTCTTCCCAAATCGCTGGAGAACCCACTCCCACAGTGGGGTGCTCAGCACAGCAGAGACCTGTGAGTAGACAGCATCATCCGACCAGGGCCCTGAAGTCCACAACTGCTCCCAGATCTCACAGCCCTTGCTTTGACACCCAGCCTCGGACTGTCTGGTTTGAACCAGTAACTATCAACTTTGAGCCTGGGCCCCAACTCCACCCTCTGCTGGAATGAGACTAAAATATAACCGTTAGAACTTTAGCCATTGGGGTTTTCCATTCAGTCTCCCAAGGGCCCCAGCCTCCACCTCCTCGGTCTCCTTACCAGGATGGTTAGTACCAAGCTCTGGACATGATCCTGGAGCTGGGAAGCATGTGTACAGAACAGGACCAGGTAGCTCTGTTCCACCTGAGGAGGTGTACGGGAGACAGTCATACACAGGGAATGGCAGGAATTCAGGAATCATGTGTCCAGTAGGAGAGTCCTTGAACTCAAAAGATTCCCCCCAACATATATGGGAGCTGTTCCTAGTGTGCTGTTCCCCTTTGCATAGCTAAGGTCAAATGGACTTTACTAGATTTCAGGTAATATGAGAGGATGCCATCTACTACCATCACATGACCACACCCACATTTTTCCTCTTGGCACCAGCCTCCCTCAGCCATGTAATCTCCCATAAAACTAGGTACCCTGATGCATGCTTATAACCCCAGCACTTGCATGGATGACCAGAATCAGCTAGATAGCAAGTTCAAGGCTAACCTGGGCTACATGAGACCCTGTTTCAAATGCCTGTTTACAATAAGCAGAGCCAGAGCAAATCAAAGGCCATTTGGCTAGCAGTACCTGGACGGCGGCTGAGATGAACAGGAAGGAGACCACCAGGCTCAGGTAGGGAGGGTGTCGGGAAGTCATGGCCAGGCCTGTGAAGAAGCTCAGGCCTTGGCCTGAGGCTGGGGCAGAAGTATCTACAGAACAGAAAGTTGATAGCTGGCATAGGGGTGAGGAATCTATACCTCCCCCCAGGAGGAGTCCTGCTCCCACCTTCTGCCTCTCATGTCTTCCCTGCATCCCCATACCTGGCTTCTCCTTCACTCCTAGGCACAGCAAACCGCCACACACAGGGTAAGTCAAGGCAACCACAGCAGCTGCAATGCAATAGAGGCGAGCCTGCAGGACAGGACAGAACTGCACTGGGGGTAATGTCTCCAGCCCATGGAGGAAGGCAGGGAGGGGTGCTTCTCAATGTCAGTGAAAAGATCATCATCCCAAGCCCAAGGATGCTCCTTTGCTTCTTTGGTTTGCTCAGTTAGCTCTACGGGCTTGGTACTGACTTGCTTTTCTGCTGACTCTGTGCTTCCGTATGGAAGGAGCATCCATGCCACCAGAGGTCAGCGTGCTCACTGCCCCACCTTCATCAGCTAATAGGCATTGCAGCTAACTTCTGTGTCCCAGACGCTGAGGTTACAATGAGGAGTGAGTGGCCTCTCGTCCACCATAAGGGCTGGGCCTTGGGAAGAGGTGGGCAGAGCCCTAGGCAGTTAACAGTAGTGTGATGTCCGGTGACCCAGATGAAATACAAAGAAAATAAAAATGCAGACAAAGAGATGCAGGGGGTGATAGCCAATGAGGACAGGGGACACGTCTCGGAAGAGGAGGGGAGTGTAGAACGGCTTTCCCACCTGTGCGCCAAGCAGCTGCCCTGGCCTCATCCGGGAAGGCACACTGTGCTTGGCTCCAGTGCTCTGCTCTTTGTGTTCTGAAATGTTGTTTGTGAATTCTTTCTTTGAGGCATCCTCTTTGAGTTGCCCATGCTGGCCTATAACTCACTGTGTAGCCAAGGATGCCCTTGGGGTCTTCCTGCCTCTACCGCTTGGGTGCTGGGATTACAGCTGTGAGCCATCATGCCTGGCTTATGAGGTGCTGAAGGACTTCACACTTGCCAAACAAATACTCTGTCCGCCAGCTGAGCTGTAACCCAGTCCCTGTGTTTTCTGTTGTTGTTCTTGTCTATTGGTGGGTTTTCTTTTTTCTTTTTTGGTTTGTTTGTTTCTCAGAATCACACACACTGAATACTTTGGGTTTTCTTGAGACGGGTTTCATATAGCTCAGGCTAGCCTTGAACTAACTATATGACCAAAGATAGCCTTGGACTCCTGCTCCTCCTGTCTCAGTTTCCCAGGTGCCAGGATTACAGGTGTGTACCACCATGAAAGAAATAGGAAAAGGGTGAGGGTACAGTAAGCACCCCCCCAAAGGAAGAACAGATGGAAGAGCATCCCTGTTGGATGGAGTTGACCCTGCAGAAGGGAGAGAGGGGGATTCTGGGTATCTCAGATACTTACTGCATCTGGGGAGACAGCAGGACTCCTGGGGTACACAGTATCCTCACACCTCTGGGACCCGTGGGCCCTGGACACAATGAGCCCATGGACGGTGGCTCCCATCAGTGTCCCCGCCATCTCCATGGTCATCCCTGGAGACAGAGCATGTGGGAGGTAACATGGCAAGCTGCAGGATCTCAAGGACCACCTGCTCCCAGGCCGAGCACAGAATTACACTCACGGTATGCGGTGGCAGAGTCTCGCTCCCTGGGGCTGGGGGTGAGGATCATAGTGAGCGCCGTGTAGGGCACCTGGAAGAACTGGGATGGCCCCTCAGAGCTTAGGATGGCCTCTGCCACCCACACCGTCACTCAAGGACTGTGGTCTCCCCACCCCCACCACTTCGCTATGCAAGAGCTGGCAACCACCCTGTCCCATTGAGGGTCCTAAAAGGCCAAGTCATCTGAACCTCAGAGCTAAGGGCTCAGAAGGGCCCTGAGCAGGGCCAGCAGTGGTAATGACAGGTTTCCAAGCAACCATGGGCAGGTCAGAGAAGAGTCCAGGCTCCTAGTACCCTTAATCTGGAAAGTGATCAAAGGCAGCAGCAAGGCTCGGCACGACATGCTTACCGTAGCCAGGGCCTGGAACAGGCAGTAGGAGGTGGCATACCAGAGCCCACGCAGGTTGGTGAACGGGGGCAGGAACCACAGGAGGAAGTAGGCCAGTGCAGTTAAGGGCATGCAGCCCAATACCCTGTAGAAGTACAGCTGAGGTACTGTGCCTACAGCTCCGGGGCACCCAGGACCCAGGAGGGACACATTCAGTCTGTCCCTGCTCCTTGAGAGGCCCTCAAGCTGGGGCTCTTAGGGAGCCATGAAGACAGGGAGAAAAGAAGGTGATGGATGGAGGGGCATTCACTGTTGGGACTCCGGCCAGGGCCCTTCAGGGTGCTCTTCCCTGAAAACACTTGAGAACTGGGGCTGTACTTAGTGACAGAGCATTTGGCCAGCACATAAGGCCCTGAGTTTGATTTCTTGGAGCACAGGCAAGTTGCTCTTGCTCCAGGGCAGTGATTCTCAACCTGTGGGTCATGACCCCTTTGGAGGTCAAGTATCAGCTATCCTGCATATCAGATGTTTACATTACAGTTTATGTCGGTAGCAAAATTGCAGTTATGAAGTTGCAGAGAAATGATTTTATGGTTGGGGAATCACCACAAGGTGGAGGAACTGAGTTAAAGGGCTGCAGCATGGGGAAGGTTGAGAGCCAGTGTTCTAGGGCCTGCCAGCCCAGTCTCACCACACCGAGTCACCAGCCAAACCGACATGGGAGCCCTGAAAGCTTGTCTAGCCCCGGGCCAACTGATGAGAAACAGATGATTTCCAAGCTTGTCTCTGAACTCATGTATGAGTCATGCTCTGACCTAGCTCGTCTACACTGCACAGGCTTGTCTTCTAACCGTCCACAGGGATCAACTAGGAAACAGGCTGTGGTAGTGACAAAGGGCAAAGGGCAAGGGAGTTGAAGCACCAAGGGGCTGCTCACCAAGGCATTAGCCGTCCAGATCCTGTCCTCCTGCTTTTGTTGATGAAGAAACCAGCCACGGGGTCTGCAACTGCCCCAGACACCTTCCCTCCGAACAAGGCAAGTGACACCTGGGCAGCGGGGATCTGGAACCATCAGGAGGGGACAGCCAAGGGTCCACAAAGTCAGACAATACTTATGTCCAGGCCTGCTTGCCTGTTGGGATGAAGATCTGGGAACTCATCTGGGGCTAGAGACATGGTGGAAAAGGCTCCTGTCCAGGATTTACATTCCAAAAAGCTCTGAAGGACATCAGAGCCGGTGAGGAGAGTGGTCAAGCTGTGGCCTTTGCACAGGCACTTTGCCACTATTTGGTGGTTTGCTTTTTGTTTTTGAGATAGGGTCCTCAATGCGTAGATTATGATTCCCACATATCGTGCATATCAGATGCTTACATTACGATTCACAACAGTAGCAAAATTATGGTTATGAAGTAACAAAGATAATTTTATGGCTTGGGGTCAGCACAACATGAGGAAGTGTATTAAAGGGGCACAGCATTAGGGAAGTTGAGCAACACTAACATAGGATTTTATGTCTCACTATGTAGACAAAGATGACCTTGAACTTCCAACCCTGTCTCTGCTACTGGGATTACAGGCTTATACCACTGAGCCCATTTTGTGCATACTAGGCAAATAGTCTATCTGTTGTCCTACACTCTTAATCCCCATCTTGTTTTGTTTTGAGACAGAGTCTCATGTAGCCAAGGCTAGCCTCAAACTAGCTATGTCGTTGAGGTTGGGTTTGAGTTCTTGATCCTCCTCCTTCTGTGCTTCTTCTGGAATGACTGAAATGCTGGGATTACAAGCGTCTGTCACCACACCTGACTATTTTCTCTTTTTCCTAGTACAAGCAGGAAGTGATAAATATCCTTGAAGAGGTTGCCCTCTGAAGCATTTTTTTTTGTCGCTGTTATTAAACGTGGGTCAAAGGGTTATCTACCAACCAAAGTGCCAGCATGGGGGCCAGCGGGGTGGAGGTGAGGTAATAGGACCAGAGCCCCGGGCTGCTGCCCACACTCACCTGTGCCACATCAAGTAAAAAGAGCTGCAGGTAGAAGGCCGAGGCGCTGGAGGCCGCCTGGCTGGGGACCCCACCAATGCCATAGCACATCTTTGTACAGACTGAGAGGCGTCCATCTCTGTTGTCCTGAGGGAGACACAGGAAGTAGCTCCTATCTCTACAGGCACAAACATCTCTCCACACCCCAGTGACTTCCCTAAACACCCTATATTCCCTGAAGGCTTGAGGGCTCTGCAACCTCAGCCTCATTTTGCCCCCACATCATCCTGTGGGGAAGTGAGAGAGAATTACGAAACAGAATTCTAAACCATTCCAGAGAAGTTCTTT